TCGAGAGAGTTTGCACTTTACACTTTAGTTTTTAAAAAATTTAAAATATTATGTTAGTTTTTGACTATTAATTTTCATCATGCATTTAAGTCCTTAAATCTAGACACTATTAATAGACAGCAACAAAATGCTGACATGTCACATTAATTAACACGTGTTGTTACTTACGTGGCAAAATGATATTGAAGTGTCACGTGTTATTGATTAATGACAAAAACAATGTCATATGTGGTATAATATATATTTTCGTTTTATTTTAGTCTTTGAAATTATAACTCGTCGGACATTTTAGTCTCTGAAATTGTCACTTACAGTCATTTTAGTTCTTGAGATTCTCATCGACGCCTTTTAATTTGTAGATGCGTCTTTCAGTTATGTTCTCAAAATGACTAATTGTGGTTCTTAAATGGTAGTAAACCAAATTTGTGTGACTTTATGCAAGGTGAAAAATAAGAGTGTAAACGAAAAAAATATATAGAAACTAAACCTACTCAGAGCAAATTAGAGGGACGGCAACAAAGTTGAAGTATACATTGACAATCACAAGAACATATCAAGCTATTGTCATAATAAGGAAAACTACAAGTTATGTCTCCTATAGTACAATGAGCTATATGCGCCCAAACCTTTTGCCCCTAGAACCTGATGCTGTTTATTTAAATATCTCTGAACATTGAAAATTACAGCAAAAGGCACCACTGAACTATGATAAGTTGATGCAGATAAAGCCAACTCCATGAAAATCAAGAAAGCACTGATCAAATACCTTTTATTTGCTTCACAACCTCAAAGGCAGCAAGTAAGAGTTCCCATCAAGACCCTTTGCATAATAATTTGTCAAGATTTCTTTCATAGTAACGTCTCTATAGACTGGAGGGTTTTCTTCTGATAACAATTCCTTTATTGGACCATAAACCTTTGATGAGCATTCAGATATAGTAAAATTCATAAGGTCGGTTACTACAGAAATTCTAGGTCCTACACTCCTCAACAAGACCCGGTGATAAACACTGACGAACTTGTCATTTGTCATAAGCTGCATGAATAAAAAAGGAAATTGATAAATATAATCTTAAAAATTGTGTATTGGTAATGATAATCTAATAAAACGTCCTAAATATTTTAGTTCACTTTTTTGTTGCCTTGTACTTTATGATTCCTTTTGAAAGAAACATCTTAAGAATGATACGTCTTACATCATGTTATTGAATTGTCACTCCTCAACTTTTATTCCTGGTAATTGAAAAAACTGTGTAGATGGACATTATACTTTAAGGTCCATGTTGAAATGGAATCAGGTAGCAAGATAGATCAAGAGATCAAAGCAAATTGGATATTAAGAACGTAGATAAACCACAGGGTATTAATGAAAGTAGTAAAAGAAATAACAGAACTGTTAAGATATGTTGATATGGACAAATTAGTAATGTATAAGCAATGATATGTGGTCAATACTTAGAGGCTTTGACAAAAATTTTCAAGCACATGGTTTTCTTTTGTGTCTCTTTCGCGGAATTCTGCAGGTCCTAGATTGACTACCCTATATTAAATTTTCTAGTTGTATATTCTAACTATCAGTTTTTTTTTTTAAACATTTGATTGTCTATGAAAGGTATTAAATAAAATCAGTGTAATAAAAATTAAAAAGACCATGACAAAGAAAGTCACAGTTACCCATAAAATTGAGACAGATATTACGCACCCCTTGAATGTCAATAAAAGAAAAGGTTAGTTGGTTGTGAAACATTGAGACCACAGTTAAAATAAGGTACATAAACATGGTGACAAATCACATGCCACGGTTTGCTTCTTGATAATTTTATTCATCTTTTGCAATCAAAATTTCTTTCTCTGGACCTTTCCATGATCTTAACATCTTCATACTTTTCTAAAGCTAAAGAACGAAGGCTATAAATCTTCTCTGATAATCATATCTCAAGATCTTATCTTTCATAGAAAACACAATAAACAATTACTGAAGTTACCTGTAATATGTCTCCAATGTTTACAGTAAGTGCTCCTTGCACTGGAGGAACATTAACCCAGTGATTCTCATGAAGAACTTGAAGACCACCTATCTGATCTTGCAGAAGTATTGTTATGAAGTTACAATCAGTGTGTTTTGTATGCCCAAAGTTAATTCAGGTTCAGCACATTCTGGATAGTATTGACCCATGATATAAAGTGCTTCAGCACAATCCATTTCTTTAAGGTAAGAAGGATTAAGGCCAAGAGCCTCCGATAATAGCTCAAAAATTGTAATGCCCAATGCTTTTACTTGTTTTGAATATTCAGCCACAATATCTCTACAAACACACAAGTAGTTGAGCAAAAAGAAAAATTTGAAATTTAAAAAAGTGAAATTCATTAGTGACCTTGACTAAATTCCATTTGACCAATATGAAATTTAGAAAAATTGCATCAACGCTAAATTACTATATTAATGGCAGGACAGAATCCTGTGAAAAGGGTCTAATCCAAACAAACTAGTCTATCAGATTGAAACGCCATACAGCAAGAGTATTTTTAGTGTTGGAGAGCTCTCAACATCCAAAAATTACACCAATTGCTAGGATTATAATTACCACATTGACCTCCCTAATTTGCTCAATGTGGACTAGAATAAATAACTATTTTGCTAATATCATATATAGAGTAAAACATCGCTGTAATGCCAGAAATATTAGTTTTGGTTGGTAAAAAATTTCACTTGTTTCACATTAGTTCCTGTATTCTTAAAACCAAGCCCCCAATTAGTAGTCTATTAAGCAAGTTACTTCTTGGGTTATGTTGGATACGCTTGTGTTAGCAAAGAATCAATGTGGCGTGTTAATTTTCTAAGGTGGCATTGACATGGCCACTTAATCGATATGATTTCTAGCTTATTATAAATAATGTCATTTTGATATAAACAAATTGGTTTTGGGTTTTAGTTAGTAACTCAAGTGTGGCACATTGAACCAGCTTACATTAGATAAGTTTTAAGTGAGAAAAGATGAATGCAGATTCTTAAACTGCCAATTACATCCCATCACCCCATCCTTTCAAATATGATTTGGTCTGATAGTGTTTCAAGTGTTGACAGAATTAGTGCAAGTTTAGAATCACTGATTTGAAGAGAAATTATCACACTTCTCAAAATCTCTCTCAAGAATCTATTAAAAAAAACGATTATTTTTTCAAAATAAATTAAACCAAATACGCACTTAGATAATGTTTTCAAGCTGGGTAGAGAAAATATTTCAAGATGATAACAAAATGGGAAAATTAACCTGCCAAAGTGGCACTAAAAGTTTAGTCAGTTACTATTGGGTTTTAAGAATATAAAACTAACATGAAATAGGTGAGATTTTTCAATGACCAAACCTAATATTCTACATGCTAGGTCTTGTTCATAGACAGACATATAATAAATAGCAAGACCAAAACTATATCATTAAGCCATATATGGCATGTTCAGGTTTTAGCCCAGGTTTGGTAACATATTATGTTGAAAGAATAACCCTTCATTTTTCAAAGCTATCTGAGAGAATTGATGAAAATATGCAATCATTACTTTAAAATAAGATAAATCAAACACACACTTAATATTTACCTGCATACAGCTGGCAAATCATCTGGATCAGGAGGATCAGGATTTGCAACAAATGAAATTGTATCCCTCCAAGTAGCAGCCATGTCTCTAAACAGCTTGCCATTAGAAAAATATCTAACTCTCTTACTACTATCCCTTGAGTAAAAGGGTTTCCTTGCCTCAGCATCTTGTTCATGAAACCTACGGATTCCACAAATCATCTCATCCAAAACCTCAACAGGAACACCATGATTGATCACTTGAAAGAAACCCCACTCCTGCGATGCCCTCTTAATCTGATCAACCACTTTAACACGCCAAGTTGAGTTGTGTATGTGCTGAAGATCTATGATTGGGATGCTGAAGTTGAAGTTGGAGTCAGTTGGTGAGGTATGAGTGGTGTCCAACAACTTGACATGGAACATGAGAGGGATCTTTGTGACCCCAGAATCTACGACACCTTTTACACCCGTTTTTGATTCATCAAATGCTTTAACTTCGACTTCTCTGACATTAACTGCCATACGAGGAAACGGTAACAGAATCAAACTACCGACGATGAGTGATGACAGTACCACGTTTGAGTTCCTCGAGGATTAATGTTATATTCCCATTTGGGCCAGCTCAGCCAAGTCAATTTGGATCAACTTAGGTTGAAAGAAGCTTGGACTAGATGCATCCATACTTGGGCTTTGACCCTCTTTCAAAGAGCTTATCAACAATTCTTATGAAAAATTAGTTCATTACTCTCGTCCCTATTTTCAATTTTATTTTAATAAATTATTTGATAAAATTAATCAAAATAAGTTATTTTTAATTTATTTTATTAAAATATATAATTTAAGTCATTGTTTAAAAAATAATTAAATGAGTACTTAAACAAGTAGATATCTAAGCACCCTCTTAGAGTTAAATCCTCTTCTATCTTAAATATAAAAAGGACAAGGTGTGATAGGAATGCTAATAATTTATATAATAAAAGCATCCTTACTAACATTAATTTTAATTGAAAAACATTAGTAATGATATTTATCATATTGTATCTAAGTTTAATCTAATTAAGAATTAAATCCAAAATTTATTAAGCATTATTATTCCGATATGTTTAACAATATATTTCCTGTATTTTTATATATCGGTTCATAAAGTCTAGAAAAAAATTTGTTTCTATTTTTTATTCATATAAAAATTGAAGATAATATTAATTTTTATTTTTCGATTAATACATTTGCCTTTATAAGATATTGATAACATTTGAATAGTTCTAGAGTTAAGAAACTACTAATAAACAATAATTTAGTAATTTAGTAATTAATTTTAATAAAATAATTAAATTCCTTAGTCTATGCAATTTATTTCTCAAAGGCGCAAGAGACCCTCTTCACTTAATAGTTCATTCACCATATATAATGGACTTATTTAAACCTCACAATATCTGCAAATCACAATTCACAGCCGAAGACACAAGTTAACAGTAATAAAGTATAAACTAAAGCCAACTCAATCATAACGAGTCATATTGCAGAAAATAGGATGACAACAGAAAAAGATATATGATGTTATTGTCATATTAAAGAAACTCCAAAATTCGATATAGTATAAATATCAAATGTCCTTTAAATTTCTTAAATACAGAAAATTACAGTCAAAGGCTTAATTTATAACGAGCACAGAGTGCACCTATTATATATGTACATTTGATTCATATCTTGAAGCAAGCAAGAGTTCCCATCAAGGCCTTTTGAATAATAATGTGTCAAGAAATCAGCCATAGTAATGCCTCTATAGATTAGAGGGTTTTCTTCTGACAAATAAACACCACACAAATTCCATGGAATCCATTGTTTTGATTACATTTTTCAAATGGTCCAGATGAGCCTACCATGAATTATGGAGGATTGTGTGAGGATAAAAGTATAAACAAGTATAATTACTCTAAAAATAATTAAGGACATATGGTCAGTATACATGTACAGGAAGGCCACAATATTTTCCATTGAGTCTATTATGCTAAATTTTGCAGGTCATGGACTGATAACCCTATGTCCATTAAAATTTTAGTTGTATAATTCTATTTTAAGCTTGGTTTTGTATAGGAACCAAATGAACAATTGAATTAACATAGCAACTTAGGGATTAACCATGGACACACAAATGAAATAGATAAGAAATAACAGAAAAGAAACTACTGATAAAGATATAAGCCTCCTCTCTATGGCAGCAACGACACCCAATTAACCTCCTAGATATTTCCTGCCCTCCCCCCCTGTCCATCCTGCATCTTATTCCTCTTCTCAGCTGATTCTTGCATCGTCCTTGTCGTTCCATTCATGCCACGTACTCAGTTTGTTAAAATCCTTCATAATGGCCTCCTTACTCACCTTTCCCATTTTACCCTTTTGTTTATCACTTCTTCTTTGATATGTATTTAACGGGGGCCCAATTCTCTTAGATTAGTTTTCGAAAAAAACAAGAGTAATGTGGGTATCAAAAAATGAAAATAGGGCAATGCCAACAAAAAAAGTGTACTTTGAATAATTAATGTATCACAAAAACAAAACAACCCTAGGCCATGATTTACATCAAGATAATCTTAGTTGCTTTTCACACAATTTTTTTCTCTGGACCTTTTTGCAATCTTTGCATATTTCAACAATAATAACAACAGTCAAGTCATTTCCCCACTAGCTGGGACCCAACTACATGCATCAAATGATACCATAATGTTCTACCAATTGTCATATATATAGACGAACCATTGACTTGTAAATCCTTCCAAATGGTTTCACCTATAGCTTTTCTCAATCTCTCTATAGTTATCTCTAGTAATTGGGTTACCCTCCATCTAATCTACTTTCCTTAGTGAGATTCAACCATTTTTTTGAAACAAAAGGTATTACTCCAACTTGCTCTCTGACAATAGTAGTATTCAAAAAATCTAGTTTTATAAGTCGAATTCATAATTTATATTAAACTAATTTTAAAAATTTAAATTCATATTAAATTTATTTTTTTATTAATTATATTTGTGTAACTAATTTAGCATTTAAATTTACTTTCTGAAATTATATTTTTATTTATTTATCTAAATCCATATATAAGAAGCTATTACTTTATATTTTTACTTATTAAATTTCTACATTATATTAGTTTACAAAATTTTATTGTAATTATATTTTATCACTAATATTTTTTTATTAATCTTAATTCTTATAATTAAAATTAAATATTTAAAATATAAAAAATATTTTTAAATTAATTATTACTGTTGCTTTTATATTTATGTTTAATTTTTAATTTTTCAAATATTATAATAAAAGAATTTTACTATTATTTATATTATTAATTTTTATTTTTATAGATTTTAATTTAAACTTTCATTATAAACTCTGTTTATTAAAAATAAGTTAAAAATAATAATAAATATTTTATACACTTCTATATAATATAATATATTAATAATATTGTTAAAATATTTTTGAAACGCGCTAATTTAATGCAACGTTTTGTACAATAAATTAGTTTTACTTTAAAAATAAAATTCACAAATGTATTAAAAATTATTTTTGTATTAAAAATTAAATTTAAAATTAATTCAATGTAAAATTAAATTTAAAACTAGTTTCAACAAAAATTAAATTTAAAATCAATTTTAAATTAAATTTAAATTTTAAAATTATTTTTGAACTGATTAAAAAATAAAATAAAATAAAATAATTTAAAATTTAATTTATATAATTAATTTGTGTGATGGATAGATGATAAAAAGTAAAATATATCTAAATATTTATTATTCTAATAAAATATAAAAATAAAAAACATAGAATAATTATCTAATGTTTAATAACACAACATATTCTATGCTAAACATCTATAAAATTTCTCTCATAATAGATTCATTGAATTTGTAATTTTTAAGCAATATCAAGACCATTTATCTATAGAAAACATAGAATAATTATAACAATAATTACCTGTAGAAGATCTCCAATGTTTATAATAAGTGCATCATGCACAGAAGCAACATTAATCCAGTGATTATCATGAAGAATTTGAAGACCACCAATCTGATCTTGCAGAAGAATTGTCATGAAGTCCATATCATTGTGCTTTGTAGAGCCTAGTGTTAATTCAAGTTCAGGGCATGCTAGATAATATTGACCCATAATAAAAAGTGTCTCAGCACAATCCATTTTTTTAAGATAGGATGGATCAAGACCAAGAGCCTTTGACAATAACTCAAAGATTGTAACACCCAATGCCCTCACTTTCTTTGAGTATTCAGTCACAATATCTCTACAAATATACAAACATTTCATCAAATAGAAAAGAAAAGGTCCAAATTTTATGGATCCGGATCGTCGCAGTTTGGCGGGAACTGCAGGTTGCAGTTTTTCGCTTGCTTAAGCGAGAATTTTTTGTTTAAGCAACCGACAAAAGGGCTTGAACACTCAGAAACGCGCCTAAGCGAGCTAGAAGAAACTTGAAAGCGAAATTCGCTTAAACGAAAAAATTTGACTTAAGCTAATTTAAAATCGCTTAAGCCCTCTCAAGCAAAAAAGAAAAATTTGAGTGAATGTAAAACAGAGAGCACATGTTTCAGGCAGTGTAATTAGCTTGAGTGAATTTTAAATAGCTTTAGTGAAGTTTGGTAGGGCTTCAGCCAGAGTTTTACAAATCCAGCGAAACTTTTTTAGCTTAAGCAAGTTTTATCCGCTTAAGTGAATTTATCAGAAAATGCATTAACTTGTACAACTTGATATAATAGCTTAAGCGAAATGTTGTAGTTTAAGCGAAATATATATGCGCTTGGGCCACGCTCAAAATAAATCAAGCCAGAATACAAACAACATTTATGGGGGTCAAAATACACTTGATTACATATAAATTTTTCAACTTTACATGTTAGACAAAAAAGAGTTGATAAATACATATTTAGCTTTGAAACAAAAGAAGTTTTGGCAATTTCGTAATCAAACTTGATCAAGGATTGAAGTATTCGTATCATGAAGTTGTCCCTGCAAAATAAGAAGAGACATTACAAACAATAATGGATGGAAAAAAAAATCATGATATTCGGTTTGATTTAAGTTGATAGTCTTACTGTTAACAAATTCGTGAAACTTAATTGATTGACTAATGTTTGAGGGGAATCATAACATGGAGGTGCCAAACAATATACTTCAAATGAATCCGAGAGCATTGGTTGATATTCCTAAAACATTTAATGATAGCGAAATTTATGATATGGATATAATAAGGAAGTTAAAATAAATGTATTAATTGATAATTAAAGTAATCATAAGAAAGTACGTGAGATGCTGATTGACCTAAAGTTAGAGTTTTATTCTTCTTTCTTTTTGCTTGTAATTCAACCTAACCTTTGAATCTTTTATACCCTTTCCTCTTAATGGTTGGTCGTTGCTTGAATCCCTTAGGTTGTGTACCCTGATTAGCGACCTTATTTACACCATCATCCCTATTCTTGTCATTATCTTCTGTTTGTAAGCGAAGCTTTGCAATGTGGCCCACTAAAGTGTTAATACTGTCATCCACTAATTGATAATATTCTTCTGAACTAGAAACCTCAGAGGCCAACCTGATCATTTTATATGCTAGCTATCTTCGTCTAGTAAAAAGTATAGGAGCTTCTTCTACTTGTATGCCTTTTACATTGTGAATAATCCCACAATAGCCTTCTATTATCCATCTCTTTAGTATGTATTTATCAGGAATAGTCTTTACATTATTAGCTTCAAACACTTTCAAAGCATGATAGCAAAGTATGCCTTGTTTCAAACTTTTTACAAAAGCAATTGATAGTAGTTGAGGAACTATCAAATGTAATTGTCCATGAACTTTGTTGATTGACTTTAGTAATTACATATTCAATCAAATGAGGAGTTTAAATCCTTAATGATATGCAACATGTCAAAAATTGAGCAAACTCTTGTTGAAATAAATTGTACACTGTATGTGTGTAAACTTTAGCCATTTATATTTGGATTGGTGGAAACCTCATATCGCAACATGGCTAGCTTATGACGGGAGTCATACTCACACTTAAGCTCGTTGTAACGTTTGTCTTCAACAACCCATTCAAAGTGAGTAAAGAATTGTTTGATGTCAACACTAGATTTCATACAAGCTTTGAAATCAGAATTTAAGCTTTCACTCAACTGAGTATTTCACATTCCAAAGGTTAAATAATCCTTCAGATAACATGATGCTCATTTCTTCTTTATAGAATACAATGAAGTAATCTAAGTATTTTGTTCAACATTGTATTCTGTAATGAACTTTGTCCAAGCCTCCTCAAAGTTAATTGAACTATCAAAGTCATACATGCATATTTTCAAATCTCTTAAAAAATGACTTCCTCCTTTCATCAAATTGCTAAGGTTTTTATTTTATTTTGCATTAAGTGTCATGTGCATAATGCATGATGTGTCTCTGGCATTACATGGACAAGTGCTTTGGCCATAGCTTGATCTTGATCTGTAAAGATTGTTTGAGGTTTTTTGTTGTTGTGTGCTTCCAAAAAAGTCTCAAACAATCATTGAAATGATTCAGCTGTTTCATCGTACAACAAAGCTGCCCCAAAGATAACAACACCTCTATAATGGTTAAACCAGAAAATAATGCTAGAGGCCTATTAGCTCGATTGGTGTAATATGTAGTGTCTAGTGATACAACTTCACCAAAAAACTCATAATCAATTATCATTTTTGCATCTGCCCAAAAAACATTTATGATTTGCTCCTCCGCATCCATGTGGTAAGCATGAAAAAAAGCTGGGTTGTCTAGTAATTGTCGTTGAAAGTATTGCATTAGACAACCAACCTCACCATATATCATTCTCCTTTGTCTTTTTGCTCTCAAATAATTTTTTGCGTCCAGTCAAGTATACCCAACATTAACTCGGTGTCCTGCAAGTATGGTCATTAGTTGAAATGATGCCTTTTGTCGCAATCCAAAGGCCTCAACCCAATTAATTTCATGAGCTTGGACTTCAGTTATATTACAATGTGAAGCAAGCATGTGTGTTGTTTCTGAAAGTTGTAATGGGTGATTATACTCTTCAACAAACTGATGAATGACATATTTGTTATTATTTGCCAAAGACAATGATATCTTTGCAAGACATTCAGTTCTAGTTTCTCGTCGATGTTTTGTGACTTGGAGTTTTCTTTTATCTTCTTTTCGATGTCCCTCTTTACAACAAATATATCTGCAATCTGTAATGACACCATCTATCTTTTGCTTGTTAAAATATTGTTTCCTGACTCTCAAACTCTTACCCGACACTTGGTTTCCTTGCGACATCCATTCTTCAATCCAAAGATAACAGTAAACATTATAAGTATTTATTCCAGTAATGTTAAATAATAGATGTAATGGTAAAATGTGCACCTTTAATATGTTTGAAGACTTTCTTTGTCACAATCTAACCCAAAATGGAGCTTAATGCTACGAACTTATGTTGTTTATCCTCACCGTGAGTGTGAAATAAGCCCCTACTAAACTTCACCAATGATAATATCTTGTATTTGAATGTTTCACCAAGAGCAAAAATAGAAGAAACCTCTTTCTTCGGAAATAAGTAACCTAATATATCCTTGGCGCCAAATATACTGTAAAATCCGCTTAAGCCATACAGATATCGCTTAAGCCTTATTCGCTACACAATCCGCTGAAGCAAAAAATTTAGCTTAAGTGACTTTTCGCTTAAGCGATAGAAACTAGCTTAAGTGAAATATGCGCATGTTGGTCTTTAAAAAAATGGAATCATAATGTTTCATTTCCATTCCAAGCCTTCTCTATCCTTCTCTCAAAGTTCTGAACTTTAATCTTTCCCAAACGTCTCTGTTATCACATTTAGTTCAAGGGCAAGCTTCCATTTTTAACTCAAGTACATAACACATGCTTAAGGCATGACTTCAATGTTGTTATTGGTTGCTATAAACTCACTTTTTCTGTCGCTTAAGCGTCTAACGGTGCTATTATTCTTAGCTTTTGCATGAGATTATAAGACTTTCATGTGTTGAATACTGTGATATATACATAAGATTAGTATTATTGTGTTCATGTTGGACTAATTCAGAATATTAAGTTTAGGGTTTAGGGTAAGTTTTATTGCCTCTGTTGGAAGCCTTTGGTGGAAGCCTCTGTATTTTTCGCTTAAGCGGGTTGAGGTCGCTCAAGCGAAAATTGAACCATGGAAAAAGCTAAAGGTTGAAGCTTTCGCTTAAGTGAAACTTAGAGAGGCTTAAGCGCAAAATAGAGCTCAAGCGATTTTACCTTAATCTTGTAATTTGTTTTTTGTTTCAGAATGGCACCAAAGAAGTCAATTCCTCAAAGAAAAAGGCAAAGACCTGAAGTTGGGCGAGCTTCACAGCAACATGATGAACCTACTGAACAACATCAACAATCACAACCTCAAACTGAAACAGAAAACATATCATGGGATAGATTTAGGTTTAAAACTAAAGCTAAGGCTCAGAGATTTCTTGATTTGCAATGTAGGGAATTGCTACCTGAGAGGAATGTCTCCTTAGAAAAAGGACAATATAAAGAGTTTTTGCAAGAGATTACAAGAAGAAAATGACAATTCTTAGCAAATCTGCCTAACTAAATTCATGATAAAATTGTCAAAGAATTTTATGCAAATGCATAGTCATTGGTCCCACACAAGTCAGATCGAAAGTCTTGAGTTCAAAGACACACCGTTGCTTATGATAGAGATGTAATTTCAGCCTTTTTAGGCAACCCTCTGACCTTAGGGGAAGGGGAGCTATGCCAATACCAATAACATCGAGGCCCTTTGTCAGGTTTTTCAGATGATACGGTAGCTGACACCTTATGCATCCCTGAAAAATTCTATGAAACAAATGCAGCGAAGAAGCCAATGCACTTCAAAAGGCAATCTTTGACTACTTTGGCCCAAATATAGGCATCCTTTCTCTTTGCCAACATAGCTCTAACCATACACACCTCAGATGTCCGGATGCCCTGAGCATATCTGATATACAGCATCATGGAGGGGATGTCTGTTGACATAGAAGCCATAATTTCATATGAGTTGCACCAGTTTGTAATGTCCAATACCTCCAGTACTGCATCAACAATAAAACTTTTGGGATTTCCATCACTAATCATTGCTCTGTGTACTTTTCAAGGTGTTATAATTCTAGACACCTCTAATCAAACAATCAGCTTGAAGAAACCAATCAATTATCAGTTCATCAAAAATTATTGCACCAATCCAATGGAACAACCAGTAGGAGATTCTTCTCAACCGTCTTCATCTATACCACTTACATCACAACCAACACAATCACGAACATGACCATTTATGCCTGAAGCGCCACAAACAGATCCAACTTTCATATGTCATCTCACTCATATAGAGCAACAATTGGCAACAAATAATCGTGCTTACACTCACCTAAATGAGTCCTTCTACAAGTAAATGTTCTCTCTTTTATTATTTTAATTACTCTTGTAATTTTTTATTTTACCATTACCTTCATCATATCTTTCCACAGGTTCACTTTACACCAACATCATGGTCAGAAATCTATTTTCCCATGGCTCACACCTGAGGCTTTTGCAGCTGCTGTATCATGGCCTGGAGATAACCTTACCTTCACATTTCAAGATGAAAATACACAGGATCTAGATCGACAATCAGAGGAAGGACCCCACGAGAACATTCAGGACATTGAGGAAAATGATAGGGGAGATATATGATAGCTTATATTTTGTTCCCACATTTATAGTCTTATTGCATCCTTTACATGTCTTTTCATTCCCTTATTTCTTCCATTTAATGTGTTTTTGCATTTATCATGTTAATTAAGAACTTTCGTAAATACTATACTTTTGTTCATGTTTTCTATTCTGACCTTTAGTTACTAATTTGACCATAACTTTTTCTGTAGATATCCTTTTTAACTCATTCTTTTTTCATTGGATTCCTTACTTCCAGGGCTTCAATTTGGAAGTATGGATCATGCTATTTGGAGTCCGGAGCTATTTTCTACGAATTTTAGAAGTTTAGACTTTTAGTTTGACTTTTGTATAGTTTTTATTTTGCTTTTGTTTTGCGGTTTTGTTGTATTTATTTTCGGCCCAGCCTTGGCTCATTCGGTTTTGCTCTTTTAGGACTACTATTTATAGAGGCCAGGGGCTTATTTGGAAGCACCTTTAATTCATTTTTTTGTTTTTCAGTTTTGTAATAATTTTCCCGCTTCCAATAAAACCTTGAATTTTTTTACCCATTCTCTTCTTCTCTTGCATTTTTTTTCACTTCGAATTTGCATTGCTCTACATTTTACAATTGAAAGGCAATTAAGTTTCTGCAAGTTTATGACGTTTTCTTCCATGTTTCCTCTTCAATTACGTTGCTGAAGTCCAGATCGCATTTGTTCAAGACATTTTTTATGCTCCGAGTTTGTTTCTTGATCTCACACTTTTGCGATTGCATAGAAAGCATTGTTCGATTGAATTATGCCTTGTTCTTAATCGTATAACAAGCAATTGATTAATTGATTGTTGTGCAGACGAGATTTAAGCAAATTTGGTTTTCATTCTCGGTTTTGGATATTATGTGTTCTTGATCTCGGTTTTAATTTTCAGTTGCGGTTTTATAACTTGTGATTTAATTCTCTGTGTTTACTTCTCTGCAATTTGATTTTTGCGTTTTAATTCTCTGCAATTCAATCATTAAACCCCCAAACATACAACTTTTCTGCGAAATTGATATTAAAGCAATGTGTATTTGCATCCTTGTGAGAGATGACCTAAGTTGCTCCCTAAACTACATATTTTTGTGAGCAATTTAGTTACTTTTGATACCATTGCGACATGGCTATCAATGTACAAGAAGGTCAACAATTAGAAGAAGAAGGGAGATGAGCCACAAGCCACGCAAGAGGATGATAATGTTGGAGCCACATGATTATAATTAGGATTTTATTGTAATAGATTTTAATGAGTCAACATTTTGTGTTATATAGTGGATTTCTTTTGTAGTTCTTGAATGCTTATTCCTATAGTTCTCATTAATGGATTTCTTTTGTAGTTCTTGAATGCTTATTCCTATAGTTCTCATTAATGGATTTTAATATTTATCCAAAATGGTAACCTATATTATATTTCATTGTTTTCTATAAGATGTAAGTTGAAAAATTTATATGTAATCAAGTGTATTTTGGCCCCCTTAAATGCTGTCTATATTAGGATTAGTTTGAATTTTCTGTAACTTTCGCTTAAGCAACCACAATTCGCTTAAGCTTATCTATTATGGCTTAATTACTTTTGAGCATGGCCCAAGCGCGTATATATTTCGCTTAAGCTATTATATCAGATTGTACAAGTTAATGCATTTTCTGATAAATTCGCTTAAGCAGATAAAACTCACTTAAGCTAAAAAAGTTTTGCAGGATTTGTAAAACTCTGGCTGAAGCCCTACCAAACTTTGCTCAAGCTATTTAAAGTTGCTCAAGCTAATTACACTGCCTGAAACATGTGCTCTCTATTTTACATTCGCTTGATAATAATTAAATTTGTTGGTCTTGGCTTAAGCGAGGAGAGAATAGCTTAAGCTATTAATGATTCGCTTAAGCAAAATAGGAGACTAAAAAACATGTCTCTCTGGTCTATTTTCGCTTCAAATTTTTCTTTTTCGCTTGAGAGGGCTTAAACGATTTTCAATTAGCTTAAGCCAAATTTTGTCACTTTTCGCTTTCAAGTCTCTTCTAACTCGCTTAGGCGCGTTTTTGAGTGTTCAAACCCTTTCGTCAGTCGCTTAAGCGAAAAATTCTCGCTTAAGAGTGGAAAACTGTAGCTTGTAATTCTCACCAAAACTGCAAGCGATCCAGATTTAAATTTTATAAGGTCTAAAGGAGAAAGTACCAATGACCTTGACTAAATTCCATGTAACAAATATAAAATAAACGAAAGTTGCATTAATATTCCTCAATTACTAGAATAGTTGTTCTGCTTATATCATAAAACATCTAAGTGCAACTAAGATCCGGCTCTGTAATTCCCACAATTTACAGCCAAAAAGTAAGTAAACATAATGGGTTCAATTCCTGCTTATGGTGTTTGTTTGGTAGTTCATTTGTAAATGCATCTCGTGACATGCATGACAATGCCAAAGTGAGCACAGAAACTAAAAATTAATAAACTCCACAGAAAAATGGTGCATCCTGATACAATTGTTCAAAGTCTTGTTAACCTATAAGAATATAATAACGCAATTTAAAACTTAAAAAGATATTTTTATTATAATTTTGTCTTGTTATATTTTTATAAGATTTATTGGAAATAATTTTTGTAAGAATATAATAATAACTTTTAATTACATGGGAGTATTGGTGAAGTACACACACTGAAGGTAATTTTATTGCATTGGGGCTAACAGCTGTACCAGTACAACGTTTTTTGAACTTTATCATTAAATAGTAATATAATTTAAAACATTGATAATATTAAATATAATATAATATTAATATATTTTCAAACACATGTTAAGAAAAAAACAAATTCATTTCGAACTTAGTATGACGGCAGATTTGCTTGAGCAAATATTGTTGGCATAGGTAAATTTTGTAAATTTTTTTTATTATGTAGGATCTTACTGGACTGTCCAGTGCTCGACGTAAAAGAAAAGTACCCAGATCCGTGGGTTATCTTCTGATGGCAATTCTTTTATCAGACCAATGAGTAGAAGCTAGCGAAAGAAATTCTATGGCCTATAATACCCAATGACAATAAACATTGATCAACACGACATTTGCTATAATTGCATCTAATCTAAATCTTCAGAATTATTCTCTATTTATCAATTAGATTCATGAATTTAATTGTTTATAAATTAGCTGAATACGCCTTTTAATTTGTAGATGCGTCTTTCAGTTATGTTCTCAAAATGTCCAATTGTGGTTCTTAAATGGTAGTAAACCAAATTTATGTGACTTTATGCAAGGTGAAAAATAAGTGTAAACGAAAAAATATATAGAAACTAAACCTACTCAGAGCAAATTAGTGAGGGACGGCAACAAAGTTGAAGTATATATTGACAATCACAAGAACATATCAAGCTATTCTCATAATAAGGAAAACAAGTTATGTCTCCTATAGTACAATATGCTATATGCGCCCAAACCTTTTGCCCATAGAACCTGATGCTGTTTATTTAAATATCTCTGAACATTGAAAGTTACAGCAAAAGGCACCACTGAACTATGATAAGTTGATGCAGATAAAGCCAACTCCATGAAAAGCAAGAAAGCACTGATCAAATACCTTTTATTTGCTTCACAACCTCAAAGGCAGCAAGTAAGAGTTCCCATCAAGACCCTTTGCATAATAATTTGTCAAGATTTCTTTCATAGTAATGTCTCTATAGACTGGAGGTTTTTCTTCTGATAACAATTCCTTTATTGGACCATAAACCTTTGATGAGCATTCAGATATAGTAAAATTCATAAAGTAGGTTACTACAGAAATTCTAGGGCCTATACTCCTCAACAAGACCCGGTGATAAACACTGCCGAACTTGTCATTTGTCATAAGCTGCATGAATAAAAAAGGAAATTGATAAATATAATCTTAAAAATTGTGTATGGTAATGATAATCTAATAAAAGTCCTAAATATTTTAGTTCACTTTTTTGTTGCCTTGTACTTCATGATTCCTTTTGAAAGAAACATCTTAAGAATGATACGTCTTACATCATGTTATTGAATTGACACTTCTCAACTTTTATTCTGGTAATTGAAAGAAACTGTGTAGATGGACATTATACATTAAGGTCCATGTTGAAGGGAATCAGGTAGCAAGATAGATCAAGAGATCAAAGCAAATGGATTGTAAGAACATAGATAAACCACAGGGTATTGATGAAAGTAGTAAAAGAAATAACAGAACTGTTAAGATATATTGATATGGACAAATTTGTAATGTATTAGCGATGATATGTGGTCAATACGCAGAGGCTTTGACAAAATTTTCCAAGCACATGGTTTTCTTTTGTGTCTCTTTTGCTGAATTCTGCAGGTCCTAGATTGACAACCCTATCTCTATTAAATTTTCTAGTTGTATATTTTAACACAGTCATTTTTTCAAAGAAAACAATCACAACTATGAATGATGTTACCCCGGAAGAAGAAAAAGTGAACGATATGATTATCTAATATATAAACATTTCATTGTCTATGAAAGGTGTTAAATAAAATCAGTGTAATAAAAATTAAAAAGACCATAACAAAGAAAGTCACAGTTACACATAAAACTGAGACAGATATTACGCACCCCTTGAATGTCAATAGAAGAAAAGGTTAGTTGGTTGTGAAACATTAAGACCACAGTTAAAATAAGGTACATAAAAATGGTGACAAATCACATGCCATGGTTTGCATCTTGATAATTTTATTCATCTTTTGCAATCAAAATTTCTTTCTCTGGACCTTTCCATGATGTTAACATCTTCATACTTTTCTAAAGCTAAAGAACGAAGGCTATAAATCTTCTCTGATAATAATATCTCAAGATCTTATCTTTTATAGAAAACACAATAAACAATTACTAGAAGTTACCTGTAAAATGTCTCCAATGTTTACAGTAAGTGCTCCTTGTACTGGAGGAACATTAACCCAGTGATTCTCATGAAGAACTTGAAGACCACCTATCTGATCTTGCAGAAGTATTGTTATGAAGTCACAATCAGTGTGTTTTGTAATGCCCACAGTTAATTCAGGTTCAGGACATTCTGGATAGTATTGACCCATGATATAAAGGGCTTCAGCACAATCCATTTCTTTAAGGTAAGAAGGATTAAGGCCAAGAGCCTCTGACAACAGCTCAAAAATTGTAATGCCCAATGCCTTTACTTGTTTTGAATATTCAGCCACAATATCTCTACAAACACACAAGTAGTTGAGCAAAAAGAAAAATATGAAATTTAGAAAAGTGAAATTCATAAGTGACCTTGACTAAATTCCATTTGACCAATATGAAATTTAGAAAAGTTGCATCAATGCTAAATTACTATATTAATCCTGTGAAATGGGTCTAATCCAAAAAAACTAGTCTATCAGATTGAAACGTCATACAGCAAGAGTATTTTTAGTGTTGGAGAGCTCTCAACATTAAAAAATCACACCAATTACTAAGATTATAGTTACCACATTGACCAAGAGTATTTTTAGTGTTGGAGAGCTCTCAACATTAAAAAAATCACCCCAATTGCTAGGATTATAGTTACCACATTAACCTTCCTAATTTGCACAATGTGGACTAGAATAAATAACTATTTTGCTAAAATCATATATTGAGTAAAACATCACTGTAATGCCTGAAATATTAGTTTTGGTCAGGAAAAAATATTGCTTGTTTCACATTAGTTCCGGTATTCTTAAAACCAAGGGCAATACTAAGCCCCCAAAATATTAGTAGTCTATTAAGCAAGTTACTTCTTGGGTTATGTTGGATCCGCTTGTGTTAACAAAGAATCAATGTGGCTTGTTAATTTTCTAAGGTGGCATTGACATGGCCACTCAAGTGTGGCATATTGAACCAGCCTCCATTAGATGTGAGCTGACATGGCTAATGTCGAATTAGTCTGTTAAGTTTTAAGTAAGAAAAGATGAATGCAGATTCTTAAACTGCCAATTACACCCCATCACCCCCTCCATTCAAATATGATTTGGTCTGATAGTGTTTCAAGTGTTGACAGAATTAGTGCAAGTTGAGAATCACTGATTTGAGGAGAAATTATCACACTTCTCAAAATCTCTATCAAGAATCTAACTAAAAAAACAATTATTTTTTCAAAATAAATAAAACCAAGTACGCACTTAGATAATGTTTTCAAGCTGGGTAGAGAAAATATTTCAAGATGATAACAAAATGGGAAAAATTAACCTGCCAAAGTGGCACTTGAATTAACAAAAAGGGACTAAAAGTTTAGTCAGTTACAATTGGATTTTAAGAATCTAGAAACTATGAAATAGGTGAGATTTTTCAATGACCAAACCTAATATTCTACATGCTAGGTCTTGTTCATAGACAGATATATAATAAATAGCAAGAACAAAACTATGTCATTAAGCCATATATGGCATGTTCAGGTTTTAGCCCATGTTTGATAACATATTATGTTGAAAAAACAACCCTTCATTTTTCAAAAGCTATCTGAGAGAATTGATAAAAATATGCAATCATTTCTTTAAAATAAGCTAAATCAAACACACTTAATATTTACCTGCATATAGCTGGCAAATCATCTGGATCAGGAGGATCAGGATTTGCAACAAATGAAATTGTATCCCTCCAAGTAGCAGTCATGTCTCTAAACAGCTTGCCATTAGAAAAATATCTAACCCTCTTACTACTATCCCTTGAGTAAAAGGGTTTCCTTGCCTCAGCATCTTGTTCATGAAACCTACGGATTCCACAAATCATCTCATCCAAAACCTCAACAGGAACACCATGATTGATCACTTGAAAGAAACCCCACTGCTGAGATGCCCTCTTAATCTGATCAACCACTTCAACACGCCAAGTTGAGTTGTGTATGTGCTGAAGATCTATGATGGGGATGCTGAAGTTGAAGTTGGAGTCAGTTGGTGAGGTATGAGTGGTGTCCAACAACTTGACATGGAACATGGGAGGGATCTTTGTGACCCCAGAATCTACGACACCTTTTACACCCGTTTTTGATTCATCAAATGCTTTAACTTCGACTTCTCTGACATTAACTGCCATACGAGGAAACGGTAACAGAATCAAATTACCGATGATGAGTGATGACAATTGGCAATACCACGTTTGAGTTCCTCGAGGACTATGTTATATTCCCATTTGGGCCAGCTCAGCCAAGTCAATTTGGATCAACTTAGGTTGAAAGAAGCTTGGACTAGATGCATCCATACTTGGGCTTTGACCCTCTTTCAAAGAACTTATCAACAATTCCTATGAAAAATTAGTTCATTACTCTCGTCCCTATTTTCAATTTTATTTTAATAAATTATTTGATAAAATTTATCAAAATAAGTTATTTTTAATTTATTTTATTAAAATATATAATTTAAGTCATTGTTTAAAAAATAATTAAATAAGTACTTAAACAAGTGGATATCTAAACACCCTCTTAGAGTCAAATCCTCTTTTATCTTAAATATAAAAAGGACAAGGTGTAATAGGAATGCTAATAATTTATATAATAAAAGTATGCATACTAACATTAATTTTAACTGAAAAATATTACTAATAATATTTATGATATTGTACCTAAGTTTAATCTAAGTAAAATTAAATCCAAAATTTATTAGGCATTATTATCCCGAGAGGGTTAACAATATATTACCTCTGTTTTTATATATCGGTTCATAAAGTCTAGAAAAAAAATTATATCTTTTATTCATATAAAAATTTAAGATAATAATAATTTTTATTTTTTGATTAATATATTTGCCTTTATAAGATATTTATAACATTTGAATAGTTCTAGAGTTAAGAAACTACTAATAAACAATAATTTAGTAATTTTAGTAATTAATTTTAATAAAATAATTAAATTCCTTAGTCTATGCAATTTATTTCTCAAAGGCGCAAGAGACCCTCTTCACTTAATAGTTCATTCACAATATATAATGGGCTTATTTAAACCTCACAATACACAATACTTGAAAATCACAATTCACAGCCGAAGGCACAAGTTAACAGTGATAAAGTATAGACTAAAGCCAACTCAATCAGAATTATGAGGAACGACTTTTTGAAGATTTTGAGCCTCTTAATACGGGGTTCCATCCTCAAAAGAAATTTAAAAACTTTTGTCATACAATAAAAAAAAATTCAAAATTAGGGTGACAACAGAAAAAGATATATGATGTTATTGTCATATTACAGAAACTCCAAATTCGATATAGTATAAATATCAAATGTCCTTTAAATTTCTTAGATACAGAAAATTACAGTCAAAGGCTTAATGTATAACGAGTACAGAGTGCACCTATTTATATATGTAGATATGATTCATATCCTGAAAGGCTGCAAGCAAGAGTTCCCATCAAGGCCTTTTGAATAATAATGTGTCAAGAAATCAGCCATAGTAATGCCTCTATAGATTAGAGGGTTTTCTTCTGACAACAATTCCTTTATTGGACCATAAACCTTTGATGTACACTTGGACATAGTGAAATTCATAAAGAAGCTTACTACAGAAATCCTAGGGCCTATATTTCTTGATAATACTCGGTGATAAACACTGATGAACAAGTCATTTGTCATAAGCTGCACCAAAGTAAAGGTGAAATTGATCAATGCAATATTATGAAAATTGTGTGTTTTGATGGTAGTTTAATAGAAGTTTAAATATTTAAGTTTATGTCACTTCTTTTATGTTGCATCATGTGCTTTAAAGTTTTAACATTCCTTTTGAAAGCAACTTCCAAAGAATGATGCACGCATCTACATCATGTTATATATTGTGTTGACACCCTTCAAAGTAAGGGAAATGATTACTAAGAATTACATAAATAAACAAAGCTTTGATGGAAATAATTTTAGAGAGAATAATTTAGATGGAAAATTATACTTTCACAAATAAACACCACACAAATTCCATGGAATCCATTGTTTTGATTACATTTTTCGAATGGTCCAGATGAGCCTACCATGGATTATGTGAGGATTGTGTGAAGATAAAAGTATAAACAAGTATAATTACTCTAAAAATAATTAAGGACATATGGTCAGTATACATGTATAGCTAGGCCACAATATTTTCCATTACATGGTTTTCCTGTGAGTCTATTATGCTGAATTTTGCATTACATGGACTGATAACCCTATGTCCATTAAAATTTTAGTTGTATAATTCTATTTTCAGCTTGGTTTTCGAAGAAAACAAGAATAATGTGAGTATCAAAAAATGAAAATAGGGCTATGCCAATAAAAATGTGTACTTTGAATAATTAATGTATCACAAAAACAAAACAACCCTAGGCCACGATTTACATCAAGATAATCTTAGTCGCTTTTCACACAATTTTTTCCTCTGGACCTTTTTGCAATCTTTGCATCTTTCAACATAGTTTAAAGTTAAACAACAATAATAACAACAGTCAAGTCATTTCCTCATTCGGTGGGACCAACTACATGCATCACATGATACCATAATGTTCTACCAATTATCATATATATAGACGAACCATTGACTTGTAAATCCTTCCAAATGGTTTCACCTATAGCTTTCTGAATCTCTGTGTAGTTATCTCTAGTAATTGGGTTACCCTCCATCTAACCTACTTTCCTTGGTGAGATTCAAACATTTTTCTGAAACAAAAGGTACTACCCCAACTTGCTCTCTAACACAAGATATTCAAAGCTAAACATCTATAAAATTTCTCTCATAATAGCTTCATTGAATTAGTAATTTTTAAGCAATATCAAGACCATTTATCTATGGAAAACATAGAATAACTATAACAGTAATTACCTGTAGAAGATCTCCAATGTTTATAATAAGTGCACCATGCACAGGCGCAACATTAATCCAGTGATTATCATGAAGAACTTGAAGACCACCCATCTGATCTTGCAGCAGAATTGTCATGAAGTCCATATCAGTGTGCTTTGTAGAGCCTAGTGTTAATTCAGGTTCAGGACATGCTGGATAATATTGACCCATAATAAAAAGTGCCTCAGCACAATCCATTTTTTCAAGATAGGATGGATCAAGACCAAGAGCCTCTGACAATAACTCAAAGATTGTAACACCCAATGCCCTCACTTTCTTTGAGTATTCAGTCACAATATCTCTACAAATACACAAACATTTCATCAAATAGAAAAGAAAAGGTCCAAATTTTATAGGGTCTAAAGGGGAAAGTACCAGTGACCTTGACTAAATTCCATGTACCAAATATAAAATAAACGAAAGTTGCATTAATATTCCTCAATTATTAGAATAGTTGTTCTGCTTATATCATAAAACATCCAAGTGCAACTAAGACCCGGTTATGTAACTCCCACAATTTACAGCCAAAAAGTAACTAAACATCATGGGTTCAATTCCTGCTTGTGGTGTTTATTTGGTAGTTCATCTGTAAATGCATCTGGTGACATGCATGACAATGCCAAAATGAGACACAGAAACTAAAAATTAATAAACTCCACAGAAAAATGGTGCATCCTGATACAATTGTTCAAAGTCTTGTTAACCTATATCTTTAAAGACTCTGGTTAAGAAATAAATAAATAAATTATTAAAAATTATGTTAAATGCGCATTGAAAATTATGGTGAGAGTCTGTTTATGATATTTTTAATAAAAATTTTATATTTTGTATTTTTTAATTAATACCTTTAACACCTTGATTAACATTTGCCAACTATTTCTGGTCTTTCTCTTTCATATCATGACCATGTTCATATTCCTTGTTAACATGGGAAAATCTAAATCCTATCTTAAATTAACAAACTAATGTCATGCCTTACCAAGTGAAGGTTAGTGCCAAAAATTAGAATTAGAAACATTACCTACACACTGCTGGTATTTCTTCTGGGTTAGGAGGATCAGGATTTGCAACAAATGCAATTGAATCCCTCCAATTGGCACCCTGGTCTAGGTCTCTAAACAAACTACCATTAGAGAAATATCTTACTCTCTTTTCACTATCCCTGCTGTAAAAGCTTTTCCTCACCTCAGCATCTTGTTCATGAAACCTACGAATTCCACAAATCATCTCATCCAAAACCTCAATAGGAATACCATGATTGACCACTTGGAAAAAACCCCACTCCTTGCATGCACTTCTAATATTGTTTAGAACTTCAACATGAAGGGTTGAGTTTGTGTGTATGTCTTTGAGGTCTATGATGGGAACACTCAAATTTGAGCCACTTTGTGATGTCTCAGTGTAACCTTCCAACTTGGTAGAATAGAACATGCGTGGAATCTTTGTCACTCCAGAATCCAAGAGCCCTTTCACACCAAGTTTTGTTTCATCAAAAGATTCTCGTTCAGCTCTGCTTGTCTCTAACTCAATTGTGCTAGTGGTGACCACCATATTGCTAAGTTATAAAACAACAGCAGTGTAGTATTTAGTTCTGGAATGAAAACATTGATGATAAGGAGTTAGAAAAGTAAATGTTGAGTACTAGAATACAAGTCTAACATTCTAACATGTCGGGTTAACATTGTACTGGGATAACTATTCACTTGCCCAGTCCAAAAAATATATAGAACCAACGGGTATGTTAGCACAATTGAAAAGAAACCCCTATATTAGAATTGGGCCAGATCAAGTAATCAAATTAGAAACCATTATACAAAAAGGTTTGTGCATTGAAAAGAAGCACAGAGCCACAGGCATCCACACAGCAACACAACACAAGAGAAGGCCACATGAAATTGAGAAATTAAAAATGTCTTTTAAGGTTGACTAAGAAGTCTATGTATAATATTTTTTTATTAGTTTAAAATATATAGTTGGATACATAAATTAAATCTGATGCATTTATCATTGATCCGAAACCCGACTGCAACTTTATTTATTTATTTTTCTATTTAAATAGATAAGTATATAAAAATTAATGCATTATTTTTAACAAGTTGGATTGAATTAGTCGGATTTATTCAATCTATGAACATATCTAGAAAAAGGGTGAGGTTAACGTATTCACTCGTTCATTTGGGCCTTGCCTTTTCTTAGAAACATATTTTGCATCTTTAGTTATTGGGCCTCCTATCGTTTGGTTTAGGAACGAGTATTCTGTATTTTGGGCCCCTTTCTTCTTGGCCCATTCATATGATTGGATTCAATGTGAAGGTTTGTTATAACAATGCAAATGAAGTAATTCTTGCAACTTACGAAGTGGGAAACTGAATTTGTGTGGTCTACATACCTAAGCAATCATATCTATGTGACTCCTAACATCGATGTTACACTATTTTTATTTTTATTTTCTTACTTACAAAACATATTGTTTTTTCTTGTAAATGTTTAAAAGGTGAACTTTCCACATCTACTTAATTAGTACATTTAAAATAAATAATTTATAGGATAAAAATTCAAAATGAAATTCTTTAAATATAAGATGAACTTCCTATGTTAATTATCTTTTTAAAATAGTGCATTTCAAAATAACTTCATTAAATATTTAGTTCTAAATATAAAAAAAAATGTTTATCATCACACTCATGTATTTGATCTTTTTCTTTTCTCTTGTCCCATGATTTGATCCATATCCTACCAAAAGCAAATGTATGCCGCTGGCGAACTATGCATGGATGCGAATGATGCAATCTTTGATCTTTTTACTCTCTTTATTTTATTTTATTTGTCCCATGTTCTTTAATGACACTATAGCTTTCTTACCCTAAGCTATGATGATGGTCGACATGTAACCATCTTTTTTTTCTTTTATGAACCATTAAAGTCACGTAGTTCATTACGAAACCATGTGTTCTATAAAGTCTTGTTTTCAAATGGAGAAGAAAAAGAAGATGATAAAGAGGATGGGCGACATTATAATGTGGAAAGTTGAAGAAAACCATATAAATCCTTCCATTGAATCATTCTGTTCGGAATATGAAAATTTTTATATTTTAGTACTATTTTAACGTTTCAGGAAATTAAATCATGGTGGTGGTGGTGTTAAACATTTTATGGGAGAATACTTTTTTTACTTTTGTAATATGGAGAATAGTTTTCTATCTTGCAAATTTGATTCAATCAGTTCAAATAAACCAACTTTTATGCATAATTTGTAAATATTAATTTTTCAACAAGAATGTTTAATAATTTTTTTGAAAAAAAGTACCTTTAGAAGTTAATTCTGATTTTTCTCATGACAAGTAGTTTTTATTATCAACCATTTTTTTTTAAATTTAATATTAATATTAATTTTTATAATTTATATAAAATTGAGCTTCTATTTAATATAATAAAATATTTATTATTAACAATTAAAATATTTACTTTTTTAAATTGAAAAAACTAGTAGATTTAAAGTTACTCATATAATATATTTTCATTTATTTAATTAAAAATTATTTTAATATAATAATATACATGCACGAAAAAAAATTACTAATTCTCTTAATTTAAATACAATTTTCTTGAAAAGATAGTTAATCTAAAATTTGTTTAAGTTGAGAAGACTATTTAGGTATGAATTTTAACATATTTAAACGAACTTATAACAAAATAAATTTTTAAATTAAATTACAAATCATGTTTCGACTTGATAAACAAAACTAGGTTTTAAAATAAAGTAAATAAATTAAATTTAGACTTTAAATTAAGAAAATAGACCAAATTGATTAGTTATAATTGAGATCACAGTTTAATTAAGAATTTATTTAATAAAAAATAATATAAAAGTTATATTATAAATTTAACTATAAAATTTCTTAAAATATGTATGCAAATATATTAAAAAAATATTAAAATCTTGAGTTTTTTTTTATAGGCAAAACAAATATTATTAAAAAGAGTTTAAGGGGAACTCAAAACTTATATACACAGAAAAAATTACTTACTCAGAGAAATAAAAAGCGAAAATATACTTATACAAAATTAAGACAGATGTAATTTCGTGGGTTCAAATACCAATCAGCTAACATAATAGCTTCTCCCTTACTAACAAGTGATAGTCATTTCCAGGATCTCAGAATAATAGAATTTACGACCTCCCTCTCATCCAAAACACCATTTGAAAATACAATTCTATTTCTATGCAACCACAAAGACTACATTGTACTTACCCAAACAATTAATAAGGATATTCCTTCTCTTTTACTACAGCCAACACCAATCCAAGAAAGCAAGTGAGTGATAAATCTGAAGGCAAAACTAGTGAGAATCCAAGCCAACGCACAGTTAAGTACCAGATTTGAAATGAAACTGAACACGTTAAAAATAAATGAGTTAGAAGTTCCTCCAAACCATGACAGAAGCAACAAGTTATATCATCAATTTGAACACCACGATCAATCAGTAAACCTTTATAAGGAAGTGCATTCAATAACAATTGCCAAGAAAAAACCAGACACGTAAGAGGGACCTTCCCTCTCCATAGCCTTTGCAAGGCATTTGCCGTACACTGATCTACACTATTAGGACCACCAAAAAGTTCAAATAGTCATGAATACGCAGATTGCATTGAATAACAACCTGAAGAATATGCCCTCCATACCCATTTATCTTCTTGTAGTAACTTAATAGAAACTCCATTCACAAGCTCCAACAAAAGATTAAAGCTCGAGATCTCATGTTGAAAGAGCCCTCTTCGCCAACTAACATTCTAAACCCACCTAGTGCCATCATGAAAACCATTCTCCAATACATATGATTCAGCATTTCTCGCCACCGCAAATAATCGCGGAAATGCTTCACACAATCACACCCCGCCTTACCACTTATCTCTCCAAAAAAGAGTGTGTAAACCTGCACCCACACTTCTATCAAACTTCTCATCCAGCCATGAATTCCCTTGATGAATAACCTCCAGCAAATCACGCCACCACAAAGAACATTTGTTGTGAACTGATGAACGCTGAATAGAAGAAGCTAATCTTCCATATCTAGATTCCAACACCCGCACCCACAATGAACTAGAGCAGTTAACACCTCGCCACAACCATTTACCAAGAAGCGCCCAATTAAACCACTGTACATTCCTAATGCCTAAGCCACCATTCTTTCGCGGTCTATATACCGTTTTCCATTTCACCCAAGGGATTTTAGATCCATCCTTAACACCCTTCCATAAAAAATTTTGTTGGATAGTGACAATCTCCTTTATTACCGACTTCGGCACCTTAAAAAAGGATAACGAGTGCAATGGCATAGAATTAAGAACGGCATTAATCAAAGTCACCCTACCTCCAATCGATAAATACCTATGCTTCCATGACGCTAACCGCTTTTTAAGAGCCTCTAACACATCCTTCCATGCACTAGGATTTCTCGGACTAACACCTAACTGTAACTCGAGATATTTTAATGGGAAACTACCAATCTTACAATGTAGGAACTCCGCAGCCAAGTTTTCAAAGTCATCACCAATGTTAATCTCCAATACAAAAGATTTATGGAAGTTAATTTTCATACTTGACATTAATTCAAAGCTACGCAATACTGCTTTCAAAGTCCACAAATTTTGCACCAAAGCCTCTCCCATAATCAATGTGTCATCCGCAAACTGCAGCAAAGAAATATCTGGTCCCCCTACCCCAATCTTCACACTAGAGAATAACCACAAGTCACTGTCTTCCGCAAAAGAACTCCTAACCCTTCCGCTGTCACAAGAAAAAGAAAAGGGGCAAGAGGATCCCCCTGTTTTAGGCTTCGCTCACTATGAACCTCCAATGTAGGACAATCATTAATCAAAGTTGATAGGCTTCCCCCACACATACAAGGTTCCATCCAACTGACCCATTTGTCTGAAAATCTAAAGCTATGTAACATAAACAAAAGATATCCCCACTCTACGGAATCATATGCCTTCTCATAATCAAGCTTTAACACAAAACACCTCTTATTATACCTTCGCACATAATCAACTGCTTCATTAGCCACAAGCACACTATCTAACATATTCCTTCCCGGAATAAAGGCTGATTGTTCTTCTGAAATTATTGAATCCAAAACTCCTTTCAACCTATTTGCCAAAAGCTTGGAAACAATCTTATAAAGACAACCTAATAATGAAATAGGTCGAAAATCAGATATCTGTTGTGGGTAAGACACTTTTGGCACAAGTGCTACAAAATAAGATAACAAAGACTTAGGTAGCTTCCCATTTCTACAAAATTCAGTAAGCATACCCATCACTTCTTCTTTAATCACTCCCCAAAACCTCTTAAAGAACACAAAATTGAAACCATCAGGCCCTGGACTTTTATCACCCTCACACTCCAAAATCATCCTTCCCACTTCCTCTTCCGAAAAAGCATTAACAAGCCTCTAATTCTGTATAACAAAGACTCTTGGTAAATTATTAATATCAATAGTAGGTCAAAGTCAACTTCTTAATAAAATGAGCCGCAAAATAGGACATCATACATGCTTTAATCTCATTAACCTCTTCGACACATCTCTCCACAATTTGGAGCGCATGTATATTATTTCGTTGCCGCCTCCCATTAACACATAGATGAAAGAACTTTGTATTTAAATCACCCTCCTTCTCCCATCTCACCC